CGAACTTTCAATTGACGTCAGCACGACTATGTCTATCACGTCTGGGGTTCAAAAGTCGAACGTAATAGCGTAGTCTTGGAAGCGTTGGCAGTCCCCAAATTCTGGGCGATTTCGGTATAACGCGGCAGCTATCCATGCAGGTACTGGAGATCGGTGTGGCTGCGTGGCTGAGCGCCATGATCTAATTGGTCTATGGATCCGATGACTAATAGATAATTGTGGCTGGAAAGCTGTCTACTCCACGCCTTTGCCCTTCAGCTTCAAATCCTCCGGGTCATGCGGCGCTTCGGCAAGTTTGCCGGCCGACTCTTTGCCCGTCAACAACTCAGTAAAGACCTTTTGCAACGCTTCAATCGCCTCTTCTCCAATCTGGTAATGTATAACCAGTCTACCACTACCCGTTCTTACTCCATACTTTTCAGCTAGCTCGATGAAGCTGTTGCGTTCAATATCGTGGGCCGCCAGGTCCAACCAAACCATGTTTGTGTCTACCGGGTATTGTAGCTTGCCTCCTAGGTCGGTCCATATCTTCGCAACCCTCTTCGCGTTCTTGTGAGATTGTGCAAGTTTCCCGCCAAGGAACGTCTCTTCAATGGCGACGCGCATCGGAGCAGCGACCACACCAGCCTGGCGCAGTCCTCCGCCAATGGACTTGCGGATCCAGCGACTACGTTTAATGAAAGCTTTTGTGCCAACAAGGAGACTTCCAATGGGCGCACCTAGGCCCTTGCTGATGCACAGACTGATGCTGTCGAATTCGGCACAAAAATCCTTTAGGGAACCGGCGCCTGCAGCAACAGCCTCCCACAAGCGCGCACCGTCCAGATGCATGATGATACCATGTTGGCGTGCCCAAGCAGATATCCGCTTGACTTCGGAAAGAGGCATGATGGCACCATTCAGTGTATTTTCAAGGGAAATCATGCGCGTTGGGCAAGAGTGCACGTCATCTGAGAGTGTCGCATACTTTTGAATATCTTCCAAAGTGAGGTATGTGCCGTTTGTCGCGTCGAGAGACTGGACCATGGCTTGAGACAAGGTAGCTACACCTCCTGCCTCGTAATTGACAATGTGCCCTCGCCGGTCGACAATCACGGCATGTGGAGGACAGGTAAGGTGTGCCCGGAATGCAACCTGGTTGCCCATGGTACCCGAGAGAACGAGAAGCCCGTCTTCTTTTCCGCTCAAGTCTGCAATGAAGCGCTCAAGAGAGAGTGTAGTAGGGTCCTCCATGAAGACATCGTCGAGTAGGGTGCATTGCTGAATAGCCCTGAGCATGGACATGGTAGGGGTTGTGTGCACATCCGAACGCAGGTCAAAGGCGGCCGGGTTCTTTTCACTACCCCAGGCCGTGCCATCGGAGGGTATGCCATTGGGTACAGTCTTGCTGCTCATAGCAGAGTACTGGTCGAATTCGCCCATGGTGAGCCGTGCTGTTGTATGCAGGCTGCGCAGGGTGGGGTTCGCGGGGCGGACAATGGATGCGGCGACGGTTCGAGTATTCACAGTCAAGCTTGTTCCTTGGGGATGTGTGAGGTCAATTGGACCAGGCGTGGATGAGTCCACGTACTGAGAAGGCGCTGTAGCGGGTATAAAAGTGTCCGCGGCATCGCAGGCTATGTCCAAAGTTTCATAGGGCGTGTGCGGCATCTCAAGAAGCGCTCGGAGCCGAAGATATGCGGCGGCTGCTTTCTCGACGCGGAACACTCTCGACTCCGATTCGCCCACACCTCGTCTATTCCCGGTTTCCTTAGGAAGGCGACCACCTAATGTACATCGCCCTCGTCACCCGCCCAGATGCTTTGCATGCCATTACCTACAGAAAACTAACAGTGTGCACTCGTGCCATCTTCACTCGCCAGGACTAGCCAGCGAAGGCCCTCCCCTGTCTGATAACCCCTCTTTTAGCTTACAAACATGCCAACAAAGACATACTGCAGATCCTATAGCAGGAACGTGCTGACAACCCTGACGTCTTCATTGCTCATTTGTAGATGGAGATAAAGATACCTCGACGTTGTAGTTGCGAAATCTTCCTCCTGTCTTGTTGACATCAGCCTAGCATGTCGCTTGTAGCTGGCAGCGATATGGATAAGTACAAGAAAACTATTGATTTGGGATTCACACATCACACCATATCATCGGATCCATACCCATCCGTATTACACCAAGAATGTCTCTGGATGATATCGACCATCGGTCTACACCATGCACGGATACCATCACTCTCCGCTTCTATGCGCCGTCTTTTCCATCGAACCCCGCTTGCTGCCATTTAGCACTTACTTCTTTCAACTCTTTCGCCTATTATTTAGTTCAGTCTAGGCTCACATGAGGTGAAGCGTCAAAACAATGGAACCAATTCATCAGATGATACGGTCAATCGACTCTTAGTCCGACTTGAAATGCCTTGACTGACATTTCCAACGACCGATCCAGACTCTATCTCTAGAGGAAATAAACTTTAATCAAACACGATCTTGCCAGCACATCACCGTACATTGGTCGTAAATATAAGCTGCAGTCTCACATCCACCACTCCAGCATCCGAACCTCATCATACCTTCACAAACACAAAAAGCAAAGTACAATCACTAAACCCTCTCCCAAACTCCCTGCGATATTAACCTAGCTCTTGACCCCGACATCGACGGGTTTACACCACCAATTACGCCCCTTTAACCCCATTCAAAACTTGCACCCTCCAATAGCCAACGGTCAGACTATCCATACCTGTCTATCTCTGCAACCTCGTAACCAACCCCAATATCTAAAACAACGTTCTGGGTTAGACCGGCACGGTTGGCCTTATCGCCGTCGAACCGGACCGGACCGGTTGTAGGTGAGGTGCATACCCGGTCTTTTTTCCTCTTTCTCTTCTACGGTAATTCAGGGTGTCGGGCACGTAAAGCAGGCGGGATAGTGGGGTGCTTATCGGGGTGAGTTGATAGGTTGGATAGATGAGGCTAGGGCTTGGGTATGTGGTCTGGGTGGCAGGGAATGCTTGATAGGGTTTGAAACATTTTTGAGGAGGGTGCCCGGGCAAGCAAAAATCAAACGTGTTTGTTTAGAAATTAAGGTATTGTATCTTACATTTCTGACGGTAAGAAAACCTGACGACGCAGAATACGCCAGGATTATCTTACTAGAGGAAAAATGAAAACGTAATAGTGGTGAAACCAAAAAGCGTAGTCCGAAGTCGATAGAGTAAAAAGACAAGAGAATAAAGACAGTTGTTCTATGGTATCTCCTAATTTCGTTGCAAGATGCGCCTTCCATAGTCGACAAAGCAAGAAGCAAAATAGTTATGTAAACATAAAATCATCATATGTGCACCTTCCCATTCCCATCTCCAACACCCTCACACAGTCCTCAACACACTCACCCCCACCCTCTCAGCCAAATCATAAATAGCAGCAACCACAGGATCAACATCCACACTCTTAATCGGAATCCGATGCGCGCCCGGCCACTCCACTAACGTCGCAGTCCCCTTCTCACAATACTCATTCAGCAACTTCCTATGCAACTCCAGCCCCGGGTCCGCCAAACCATGCACGTGCAATGTCGGCACTCTAAGCGTCGCCTCCTCATCCACCTCTTTACAAAACTCAAACCCCTCTGATATCTTCCCCGCACTCACCAGCGTCTTGCTAGTCAGCAGCTTGGGATTGAGATTGGACAGCGGCGCCCTCCCCGCAAGCAACACACCAAAGCGCCACTTGATATCTGGGAAACCGGTGGGACCCGGTGTTATGGGCGCTGCAGGTCCACGCTTCTTAGCTTCGTTCTCGCGGGCCTGTTGCTCAAGCAACAAACTCGCGGATAACTTTGCGCCCTGGCTGAAGCCCATGAGGCCAACCCACTCGCCCGTGCCGCCCGCTTGGTCGTCGTCTTGCATGGCGGTGCGCATGGCGTAGCCAATCTCCTCAATGCACGTTTCCTCGTCGAGCTCGGGGTGCGCAGGTAGCCAGCGGAGCCACCGCCGGAAGGGCGCGTAGCTGCTGTACACGTCGACGACATCGGGGTGCGGGTCGCAGAAGAAGGGCGCGTCGACCCATACGAGGCGGAACGAGTGTTGCAGATGGCGGATTAGGCATCGTGCTTGTGCTTCGAAGATTGCGGCGTTGACGCCGCCGCCGTGGAGACAGAGGATGCGTGGGAAGGACCGGTCGTCGGGTTTTACCGGGGGTATCTTGAAGGCGGATTGTGAGGGGATCATGCTTGGGGAGGCTCTGAAGAGGTGGGCTTTTGGGAAGGGGAAAGAGGGCTGCGAATGGGGATTCTACTGTAGAAGGCAATTATGGCGAATCGCAAGCATCACATGTGTGTCTTACGGCTACGGGAGAAAGGCCGCTCGGGGGAATATGCGGCTCATTCTTAGTCTGCCGCAACAGCGTTGAGAATAGGCATCAAAGTACTGAGGGCAGCGACTTGCAGTGGGCTCGGAGTCCGGAGCTGGGGGTCAGGGTAGGCCTAATGTCTTCTCTGCATGACACTTATGCTGCTAGACATACACTTACAGGTAATTTTGTATGGATGTAGACTAGGAGTATTTTAGAGTCCGGCATATTGTCCGAGATTGACAAGGAATGATGGCAAAAGGTATGGCGACAAAGGCAGCTGTGACAAGGAAGCTTGTGAGATAGGGCGGGGAACCGCTTCGGCTCAGAATTGCACTAAGTAACGTCCATGCCTAGGCTGCAAGACGCCCCCGGTCACTAGACAAAGCGCAGGTACTTCGCTAAAAACCACCTCCAGTCCTTTCGGCGCGTTGGGCTGACCTACAGTCTTTTGTCAAACCTGTAGTAGACTGCTGTCGTACCACTAGATACCAAAATCTACAACATGGTTGACGACTTCATGCCTTGTGCACTGGAGCCTTCTGTTGGGCACCTGGAAGCACAGCCACCACAACATTTACATTTAGTGTTTTACGCATGGTCAGGAATTTTATAAGGTGATTAGCAGGATGACATTGCACTCTCCGCTACACTGCGATGGATCATTTCCAATACAAGCCGCTTGATCCTAACGGCAACCACATACGTCTACTACGCTTTTCAGACGAACTCGGCTACGCTCTTGACAGCTTTGACCTCAATCAGTGTCCTCCATACGAGGCTTTGTCGTACACATGGGGACCTCCACTTCCAACAAGTACTATCACCGTGAACGAAAAACCGTTTGAGATTCGGGAAAATCTGTCGGACTTCCTTGATCGTATCCGAATTGGCATCACTCTCCTCGATAAGCATGACTGTCCTCTACTGCATCCAAAGTATCTATGGATAGACCAGCTGTGCATCAACCAGGCATCCGAGGAAGAGAAATCGCACCAAGTCAGTCGCATGGCCGGGATTTATAAACAGGCGCAGCGTGTTATTGTGTGGCTAGGTCGCGGTGACGAGCACAGTGGTACCGCAATGCGACTCATAGCAGATACGTGGTTCGCAGATGAGCTCCCTGCTGAAACCTATCCGCCAACGTTTCCCGGAACGGGTCTTTGGCGTGCTCTACACAACGAGCAGCGAGAGTACTTCGATCGACTCCTCAAACTTGGCCATACCGTGGAAAACCTAATGCAGCTACCATATTGGAACCGGCTCTGGGTAGTCCAGGAATTCGTACTCGCCCGAGACGTCGTGCTTGTGTGCGGTCCATTTGCCGTCACGCCTGCTGCCATTGATAGACTTCGATACATTTCTGGCTTACCGAGATGGTTTGGATTTCGTCCAGATGACCTCATTGCGACTCCGGAGCCAGTGCGTAATCTTTTCGGTGCGCGGCGCGACAGATCCAAGGGGACTACATTCTCACTACCCGAGTTGCACTTGATATCCCTCTTACGCGACTTTTCGGCGCGGAAATGCGAGGACCCGCGTGATAGGGTGTATGGGTTGCTCTCGCTGTGTAACGAACAAATTGATATTGTCGTTGACTACTCGAGGCCAACGGATGTAGTATTCCGTGAGGTCTTTACTACGCTTATCTACTTCAAAGGCTATGATGAAGATTGGTTTGTACAACTCGCTAAAGATATGGGGGTGACGCAGAAGCGTCCTACGCCTAGTGGAAGTTGGCACCTGAAGGCTCCAAGGGAGCGTCAAATGGAACATTGGGTGCCGCTAGAATTAAGGCAGCAATTTCTCAAGTATTGATTAAATGCCAGGTATGTTAGATGTAAGCCCCGGGCGCTTGTACGGCCATGTGTGTTTTCCACTAACCAATTAGCCCACTACGTTACCTAACACCTACACGTATATAAACTTGCAAAATCGACATGCTGAAGGTCCGAAATGTAGAGCTGTCTCGTAACGAGGTACGTCTCGTGACCTAGCGATTGACATTAGTACCTATGCAAGCTGTGGTGTAGGCATCTCCATCACCCGCACTACAAAAGCATGTCAGTGAATCCTGGAATTACTACTGCCAATAAGTATATGCCTACTGGGTAAAACCAAGTCATCGCATGGTGATTGCGGTATCGCTTGTCATTGTACCAAGTTGAGGGTTGCTAAACTAGGCCTAGTGTCGGAACTGTATGTATTCTGTTCTGGCCAAAGACTCAACCCTTACACTTCTTAATCTTTCCTTCAATTATCAAAACATGCCATCCATCCAACATCAGTCCTAGCGCCAATATTTATTCATGTTCAGGGCACTGATAGTCTCCTGTACCTCCATATGTGTCCCTTCAAACATCCCCATGTCTCGGAGTAAGCAATTCATCGAACCTCGTTGGTCTAGTTCCACCTCTTCATGCTGTGATCTAGGCAGCTGTTTTGGGTGCATTAGCAGCGTATTGGGAGAGGAACTGGGGGTCGTTCTCGAACTCCTCCCTGACCTGTGGATTTCTAGTAAGTATTGGACCTTGTCATGGTAGAGGCATGAGACTTACGATATCGAGACCACCAACAAGCTCACCGTCAGCCCACAATTGAGGGAATGTAGGCCAATCGGCAAATTCCTTCAAACCCTGTCTAACCTCGTCGTCGGCCAATATGTTGAAGAATCCATAGCGAATTCCCTTTTCGCGAAGAATGCTGACCGTTTGTCGGCTGAAGCCGCATTGGGGTGCGCTTGGTGTGCCCTTCATAAACAGCATGACAGGTGCAGCCTTGACAAGCTCTGATAGTCTTTGATGCAGCTCCTCCTTACTTGTCTGTTGCTCGCCTGCAGTGTGCTCGGGCGCAGTCTTGGGATCTTGTGCGCTTGGTGTGTAGCCCGCAAGATTCTTGCCTGCACTATCGCCATTCTCTTGGGGTCGTGTGACGGTTTGCGCAGGAGGTAGACTCGACTGGCCGCTGCCGGCGCCAGCATGCTTTTCAACTGCTGCTCGTACTTTTGAGGCATCAGAGCCCGAAACGGTCTCTAGGACTTTGCCGTCCTTCTGTAGGACGATGTATGGGACTGCGGTGACATCGTAGGTCTCGGAGACTTCTGGCAATTCCTCGGCATTGACGGAGAAAAAGGATATCGGTGCGTCGGCCGAGTATGTGCTGGCAAGTGTCTTGAGGACAACGGACATTTGCTCGCATGGCTTTGCCCATGGTGCGTTGAAGTAGATGACGGCGAGTGTGGAGGCGGGGAGGGCGGAAATGGTTGACTGGAACGCCGTCTCGTCGGCGATCTCTTGCAGGGTAGCCATTGTAGAGTAAATTTGGGGTGATCAAGGTAGATTGTAAATCGAGTGCGGAATGTATAGTACAAAGCAAGTCTATTACTGCGAGGCCAATCTGATTAATATTTAGTCGCCGCCCTGCAGAGGAAATCACGTCAGAGGGGCGCCGAACTGCGGAACTGTCCACCCCACTATGGGCGGCGTTATCAGATCAATCGGCTCAACCGTTTCTCCGGCCCCGGCTATCGTTGGAACTTTTTGTTTCCGCCAAGATCTCCAGACCAGCATCTCGAGCAACGCAAGCAGCAAAATCACTAACACCGCCAATATGCTCAAGCAAGCGTATGTAGAATGAGTCGCAGAGTCACCAAGATCAACATTTTCTAACAATATTCCCCAGCAAGCCCAAGAATGCTCGCGCCAAGCGCGAAATGAAAAAGCGCGAGCCGCAGCAGAATGAGAACCCGAAGACGACGCTCTTTGTTTCAGGCCAAAAGACGTCGCAAATCCTCAAGCTTGCCGTTGCCGATCTTACCACTATCAAGCGTCCTTTTGTCGAGCGCTTCACCAAGAAGAATGACATCCACCCCTTCGACGATGCCTCATCTCTCGAGTTCTTCTCCCAGAAGAACGACACCTCGCTCCTCGTTCTGTCGCTGCACTCGAAGAAGCGCCCACACTGCCTGACACTCGCCCGCACCTTCTCATACAAGATGCTCGACATGCTAGAGCTCTACATCAACCCAGAAACATTCCGCACACTGCAGCAATTCAAGAACAAGAAGCCCTCGATTGGTCTCAAGCCCATGATTAGCTTCCACGGCACCGTCTTCGAAGACCCCAACCAGACAAAGTACACGCTAGCCAAGAGCCTGTTTCTAGATTTCTTCAAGGGACAAGACACAAACGAAATCGATGTCGAGGGCCTGCAATACCTCGCCTCCATCTCGGCCGAAGAGCCTACCGACGAGCTGCCCAACCCACCCATCCACCTGCGCTTCTACCTTCTGCGCACAAAGCGCTCCGGCCAGAAGCTGCCGCGCATCGAAGTCGAGGAAATGGGTCCACGCATGGACTTTACTCTCGGCCGCGAAATGTTCCCTGACCCAGATATGCTCAAGCAGGCCATGAAGACACCCAAGGGCGCAGAGGCACGCACCAAGAAGAACATTGATATGAACGCCATGGGTGACAAGACGGCCAAGGTCCACGTCGGCAAGCAGGACTTTGGCAACCTGCAGACAAGAAAGATGAAAGGTCTCAAGCGTGGTCGTAATGAGGATGATGACGACGAGGAGGCTGGTGTCGAAGACAGCGGAAGCGACGACGATGATGAGGTAGAGGAGAAGACACCCAAGAAGATGAGAGTTTGAAGTGTAGAAAGACGTACTTAACTGCATGGGCGGCGTTTATCCGGAATCCATTCCTGGCGTTGAGAAAAATATGTTGAGCGAGACTTATACCATTTGAGTCGTATGGACAACTTGCGTCCCTGGGAAAGAAAAAATCAAAATGAAAAGTTTAATCAAACATCATGAACAGCTGTTAGAATGTCGTGAATTGTTCAGAAGGAAGAAGAAATACTCTATAAACACTACACTTCACTAATCCTACTCATCGTCCGGCTCATCAGCCAACAGCCACTTCGCCCTGCACTTAACCGCCGCAGTCCTGACCTCTCTCTTGCCATCGTCCAGCGCAGCAATCAACCTTCTCACCACCTCCCTCCGATACTTGACCAACGTATCCTCTTTAAACTTATCTGCTACAAGAAATAAACACTTGAGCGCCGCTACCCTCACACTCGACGGCGGAGGCGGACCCGTCTTGCCATCTTTGACAACAATCGCGTTGGCGAGAAGACGCGAAATGAGTGCTCCGGCGTGCTCTTCAAGGACAGCCGGTTTCTCAGCAAGTGTGCTGGTAAGCGTGCCGATCGCTGCCTCTTTGACAGCATCGACGCCTTTAAGGTCGAGGGATTGAAGGAGCAGTGTAACGAGCTGACCGACTTCCTCGACGACAATGTCGAAGGGCATCCATCGTAGCGCTCCGCTGAGCGCGATCAGGTAGTTCGGTTTCGTTTGAGCGTCTGCGTCACGGAAAGCGGATGTGATGTTTGGTACTAGCAGTGCGAAGCTCTTGTGCTTGTGGAGGCCGACGATCTGGCAGTGGTTTTCTTTGGTCAGGAGATCATCAGGTTGCAGCAGTGTGGTGAAGCCTTGGGCTACTGTGCTGCCGTACTTGGGGTGTGACAGTATGGATAGCAGTGTTGGATACAATGTATTCAGCGCTGGACTGCTGCGTAGTACAATTCCCTTGACACAAGCAAAGATTATGCGTATCCGTGGCGGGTCTAGCTTCTCCGGGTTCAAAAGATCGAAATTTGCGATAAGAGGATCCATGCATGTCTTGAGTGCAGCCGAAGTGTAGTACTTGTTGATGATGAGTGACATCTGGCGGAGCGATGCTGATCGAACTGGGACAGATAGTGTGGGTTTCTGGACGTATTCTGCGAGAGAGGAAACAAGTAGCTGTAGCTCGCAAGGAAGAGTTGTATCTTTTCGGAAAGACGCGAGGAGATGTGTCGAAACGATCATAGTCTTGTCGGCCTCTACGCTTGCGCTGGCATTGAAAGGTGGAAGTTCGGCTTGTGGTGTGCCACGGAATAGCGTGTATAGTTCTGCAGCGATGGTGTTCTGCTGATCGGTGGGTAGGTGTCTGATAATTAGGTTGCAGATGCGACCAACAAGATCTATAGTTGTCTCGTTGTTGAATGCTTCCGGATGTGATTCGTCTGAGCTCGATATGCGCTGTATCAATGGTAGTGCGATATCCTTGTAGTATGTCGAGCTTCCCGAGCCTTCAGACAGTTTGCGTTCGCCCTTCTTTAGCGCATACAGGATTGCCGAGAGGAGTGCAACAATGTATGTGGAAGAGGCACCCTGCTGCACCGCTGCACTGAATTTGTTCTTGAGACGTATTATGACGGTGTCAAAAACCTGCTCTTCGCTAGCGAGCTTAGCAAAAGCTTCGAGCACGGTAGAGTAGCTCTCAGGTCCGCCTGTGTCTGTATCCGGTAGCTGGGCCAGGAAGGCTGGAAAGGCTTTATCAACAACAACTTGAGGCTTCTGATGTGCGATTTCGACAATTCCATGAATTGCTGCGTCTTTGACCTCGTCTTTCCCATATGACTCTTCATGGACAACAATCGTGTGAAGCAATTGGATGATCCTACCAACATCTTCATCGCTCAAGAGTCCGCGGGTTTTTGATAATTGGACTAGACCATCAAGACATACCAATCGGAAAGATACCTCCTTGACAGGCGCTGTTCCGAGTCCATTTAGCATCACCTCTAGGGCCTGGTCTCGGAATTCAGCCAGTGAATTCTTGCCAGCTTGTTCGCCCCCTGAACCTATGTTTCTCCAGTCACCGTAGACATCAATGTTGGCCTTTATCAATTGGACAAGAACTTCTAGCAAACCCCGACGCTTGGCCATTGTATCTGCTGTCTGAAATAAGAGGAAGAGGTTGGGTAGCACTCCCGCTAGGAGAATACTGGTAACTTCCGGGGATACATTGGCAATGCTCTGTAGGAACCGTGCAGACGCTTGTGATTGCTTCGTTGGGGCGTCTTCAAGATGCTCGTTGCATTCCTTGGTGACTGGTTTGAGGTATGCATTTAGCGATCCTGGGGTACCCTGCGATAGAGTTTTTGCGATTGCCGCCAGGGCTTTGAGCGCCTCTTGGGCGAGGTCCTCCTCTTGCACATTGAGTACTTCAAACTTCAGAGCGTCCCATAATGTCACAGCATATAGCGACACCGTTTTTGGTCCATATTCTCTCACACAGGCAGTGATTGTCGTTAGCACATCTCGCTTCGTGTTCATAGATGTGGAGTCGAGTTTGTCCAGAAGCGCGGGGAAAGCATACGGGGCAAAATCGGCCGTAGACGAAATACAGTCCCGTAACCTATCTTTGAGGTCCTGAGCAGTAATCCCGTATGGGTCGTCAGGTGGTGGTCTGAATGTGATGGGAAAGTAGTTAAAAACAGCATCGAACAGATCTTGCGCATCACCGCCAATGGTCCACTCAGTCATCGGAACCCTCAATATCGAAAACACAACCATCAGGTTCCGAGGATCTTTCTCTCCGTCAAAGTATGATATGAAGCGTGTCATGAAGTCGGGCGTCGCATCGTGGTGGGCTCGAAGGACCTCGCGATACTTTGCTATGAGGGTATTTATGAGTTGTAATACCGGATACCGCTCGCTTTGCTGTTTGTATTGGCGTAATGGGTGAGTGTTGGAAAGGAGCGCCTCGACTATAGCGACGACCCGTTGGTCATCCCACTTGCCAAGCTCCTCGAGTGCCAACAACGCCTTTGCACACGATCCCAGGCCTTCGTTGTCTTCAGTCCGGGAAAGGGTGAAGTCGCATAGCAGATTTCCTGAGGACCAAAATTAGCTCCATATTTCCGACTGATGTATCGCCCGATCCATATGCCAATACGCCATCCATATTTGGGTATGGTTCAAACAAGAATGTAGGGGTCGCGATGTCTCATGTAGGCGTAGTCGCTTTCTTGCCACATCGGAAGGATGGTCTTGATTTACGTACGTTGCTGCAGGGATAGAACCTTTTGTGGTGTGGCAGCGAGTACCTCCGCGAGATACGACATGGCTGTAGAGGATTAGCACTATCCACACCAGGACCTGATGATTCCTCACTTTTTGACCGTGTCGCGCCATCTTCGCTATTCAAAAACTCTCCAAGGTCAGTGACCAAGCTAATAAGCTTCAATTCGCCATTCTTGAGTCCTGTCTACTATCAGCACGCCATGTTCCCCACGTCCCCGATGCCCCTCCAGAAAGCCTCATACATACGCGTGGCGCTCGCCTGAGCAGTCGCAGTCGCCTCCTTCTTATTCTTGTCGAAATCTAGCAAATACTTCTGAATATCCGACATTCTCACGTTCTGGCAGTTGAGAGGCGGATATCAAAAAGTGTGGTTTAACAAGTCGCGAACCAAACCCACACACACACTACCGCCATGACGTTACGGAGTTGCGGAGCTGCTGATTGGCCGGTATCGGACGGTGGGGCAAAAGCCCGCCCGCGCGCAGAAAAAAAAGTTATGTGATAGTGATTCGGCAAGTGAGTAAACTGAGCATTTTTTAAAAATATTCAAACCATAAATGCCGCTGTTCCAGCATAAGTAGTCGCCGTTGTATAAATATCGTTTTACTGGGAGACCTAGCCTTTCACTTTCCCCTCCCAGATTCCCCCCCCCATTTCCTTCCCCAAGGAAAACTTTACCCCACCATGGCCGACGATAAACCCAACTGCAAGGTCATTCTCGCCAACAACATCGCCAAAAGCCTCCTCGACGAGGTGCGTGACGGCTTGACCAAAATCGGACGCAAGCCCCTCCTCGTTGGATTCCTGTCCAGCGCCGATCCCGCTGCGCGAGTCTACGCAGAATGGACGGGCAAAACCTGTGTTGAAAAGTGAGCAAAACCATTCATTTTGGCAAGCACTTTACTAGTAAAAAAACATACCATATGATCTCCTCCCAGGAACGAGACAAAGAAAGAGACCCAAAAAAAAAGAAAAAGTCCAATAACTAACCATACCCAACTCCGCTATACAGTGGCTTCGCCTTCTCCCTCCGCGAAACCGACCGCGAATCCCTCGAAGACGCCCTCCTCGACGCAAACGCCGACCCCTCCGTCGACGGCATAATAGTCTACTACCCGATCTTCGGCTCCCGGCAAGACCAGTACCTCCAGCAAATTGTCTCCATCGACAAAGACGTCGAGGGCCTCTCCCACCGCTACATCTTCAACATGTACCAGAACATTCGCTTCCTCGACGAACCCGCCAACACCAAGAAGAGTATACTGCCGTGTACGCCGCTGGCGGTGATTAAGATTCTCGAGTATCTCAGGATTTATAATACGATACTGCCGTATGGGAATCGGTTGCATGGCAGGACGATTACAGTGATTAATCGAAGTGAGGTTGTAGGCAGGCCGTTGGCGGCGCTGCTGGCGAATGATGGCGCGCAGGTGTACAGTGTTGATATCAACGACGTGCAGGAATTCACGCGTGGTGTCGGGCTGCGCAAGAGAAGGCACGAGGTTGTCGAGAAACCCGGTTGGACGCTGAAGGATTGCCTTCCGCTCAGCGATGTGGTGATTAGCGGTGTTCCTGGTGACAAGTTCAAGGTGCCGCTTGAACTGATGCGTGATGGTGCTGCTTGTATCAATTTCTCGAGTGAGAGGAATTTCACGCCCGAGGTTAAGGAAAAGGCGTCGATTTATGTGCCGGCGATTGGAAAGGTTACAATTGCTGTTTTGCTGAGAAACCTG